TGTATGTGTGTGTATGTATGTATGTGGGCAGGTATGTATGTATATGTATAGAGACACGTACACATATCTGTTTCATATGTACAAGGTCTACGTGCTTTTTTGTAGGAATCCAGACCCCAGGTATGGCTGTAGAAGTCACTACCCCAAAGTCTAGAAACCCCAGCTCCAGAAACCCCAACTCCATATAGACAAACGAGCCCTATGTACACTCAATCAACACCAGCGAACCACAAAATGAGGGTAGGACCTCCAAGCCACAAAACAAGACAAGCCGTTCCTATCATACAGCCAAGCAAGCACTGGACTTGGCTCGAGGTCGGCAGTGCCAGGGCTGATTCAATGCACCCGCGGGGATCCCAAGCAAGCGAGCCTTCAAAATTTAGTTCTCTACAACTTACATTGCCCATTCAAAGCAAGGCTTGATACAAGGTAAGCCCCGACACCGCATTTTGCGCACCCTCCATCCCACAAAACCTTCTCAGCACCCAACCCTCCTTAAAGCCCAAAACACGACTTCCAAGCGGACTCGACTGTATACCCTCACGACGAGACTATTCTAATGCTGCCGCTGCTGCCGCTGCTGCGGCTATTGCTGTTGCTGTGACGGCGCTACTGCTTAGCCCTCCTTCCTTTTCTACAATTGCTGCTGCTACTACTGCTGGCCCTCCTACGACTACTGCTGCTACGACTCCTACTACTTCGACTAGTAGTACTATAGGACTATTATAGTAATACTACTACAGCACTTCTGCTGCTGCTGCTGCTCCTCCTACTACTACTACTACTAATAATAATAATAATTGTTATTATTATTATAATTATATTTACAACACACATAAACACCAAGCTGCGAAACCCTCCAAAACTCAAGTCCCTGAAAAGCCCGACCCTAAACCCTAAAACCCATAAAACACCGAAAAACAACCCTAAAACCCCTAAAACCCCTAAAGACCACTAAAAAGCCTAAAAACCCCTAAAACCACTAAAACCCCTAACTAAAACCCCTGAAACCCAAGGAGAACGGGCGCCAGTAGGTTCCGGGGCTTTTGGATCCTGGGTTTTCGGGTTTTCTGTTTTGGGGCTTTGGGGTTTTCGGGTTCTGTTTTGGGGTTATAGGGCTTTAGGGGTTTAGGGGTTATAGAGCTTATTGATTTTTAAAAGATCTAGGGTTTTTGGGGATTTTCGGGTTTTTCTGTTTTGGGGCTAGGGTTTATAAAGATCTTTAGGGTTTACTGTTTTTGAGGGTTTTAAGGAAGTTAGGGCTTTAGGGCATTCTGTTTTTTGGGTTAGGGCGTTCGGGCTTTAGGGGTTTATAGGGCTTATTGTTGTTTTAGGGCTTTTGGGGTTTAGGGCTGCTTTGAAGTTATAGGGCTTTAGGGTGAAAGGGTTTACTGTTTTAGGGCGTTAGGGCTTCAGGGGTTCAGGGTTTGCTGTTCTTTTGGGGGTCTAGGGCTATAGGGGTTTAGGGCTTGCTGTTTTTGGAGTTTTAGGGTTTTAGTGTTTAGGTTTTCGGGTAGGGTTACTGTATACAAGGGCTATATCGGATTAAATAGGATCCTGGGGTAGTTTTAGGGTTCCGGTTGAGCCTCCGAGACGGCAGCAGAGAGCTTGCGCTGCAAACTCGTCGGTTTGGCAGGGGACGGCTGGCTGGAGTCGGATGGCCGGGCTTTGGCTTTGGCCTTTGCTTTCGGGGTGGGTTCCTTCTTCTCTGCAGGGGCTTTCTTGAAGGCTTTGGGATCCGGGGTCATGCCGCTGGAGGCAGCTTCGGGACTAGCCTTCCTCATTTCCTCCAGCCTGCGCTTGGCAGCCTCAGCTATCGTGATATCGAATGATCTAGGGATGTCTTTGACAAGCCAACCATGCAAGACATTTAAAACTGTCACCCTTGGCAACGAGTATTCTTGCGATTGTGATGACTGATCGACCCAAAATGTAGGCGAGAAGCCTCCAATACCTGCTGGCCTGTCATGGCAGCATTCTTAGCCTGCTGCTCTGCTAAGAAAGAGCTGCCCCTGAGTAGTGTGTCACAGGACCAAGTCTTCGATACACCTTGTCCAGGTCCGGGCTCCGTGGGCGAAGGCGTCGATTTGACAGAGGCCGGCATGTTGTGACAAGAGTCACAAGGGGCCGCTGGATCAGGGCTCGACCAATCTCCATTGCGTGCACAAGAAATGTCTTAGCTCACACAGCACAACTGTTCGGTTGGTATATGAACCCTGCAACAAGCAGTTCTTTGGCAGCCATCGATTTGGCTCTGCAGGCAGCATCTATGAGCGGCAGACCACTCCAGCTGAGGGTGAATTATTGCTACGAGGCACATCCGGTCATGTGAGCTTCAAGCACAGCTTGTGTTGTGTAAAGTCCCCGCAAAATTCCGATGAAAACCTTATATAGATAGGTAAAAACCCTATATCGAGGGGTTTTGAGCAGTGACTGTTTTACGCCTAAAGTTTGCATTTTTAGGGGTAGGAATCCTACGCTTTTTTACGCCACTTTACGCCTGCCCTACGCCTGCCCTACGCCACCCTACGCCTGGATTTCCAGCAACTTTACTCCAATTCCTGCCACCGACCTACCACAGTGACTGGAATTCCGTTGCCTAGCCTAGCCCTGAGCAGGCCTCTGAAAAAAACCGTACAAGCCTAGTCAAGAGCGTATCCGGGCAGTGACAGAAGTTGTCGGGACAAAGATACAGGGTTTCTGTTCTGTTTGTACTACGCACAGGGGACCGATCAGGGCCTCCAGCGGGCTGTATATACGACTCTGTAGGCTGCTAGGTCTGGGTTGAAGCCACACAGGAGCTCATCCAGAGCGCCTGGAAACTTTGGATCGTTCTGACCGATCCTTGATAGGGATCGGCGGCATTCGGTTGTGCCAATCATCTGGAAGCTGCAACCCACAGCCACCCCGAAGGTAAGCCAACACCTGGTACATCTTCGCATCCAACCATGTATCCTCGAAAAGACTTCCCGTGTCCCACAGGGAATCTGCGGATATCTCCTGGGGGCCCGGTGCCTGGGCCGAGGCACGGCTAGGGTTTAGGGGTTTTAGGGTTGTATAGGGTTTATATAAGGGGTTTAGGGGTTTAGGGGTTTAGGGTTATAGGGTTTATAGGGTTTTTAGGGTTTTTAGGGTTTGTAGGGTTATATAAGGGTATATTAGTTTCAGAGCCTGGATGACGTGTTTGAAGGGGGCTTTCTCCTTGTGAAAGAGTGGCATGCACTTTGCAAACCGGTGGGCATAGCCTTTTGGATATTCCCTTAGATGCTTCATGCACATGTAGGATTGAATATGTCTGCAAGACAAGACAAAGACTGATCATGTTGAAATCAAGACCAAATGCTTGTAAGGAGCTGTGACTCCTTCAACTTGCTGTTGCCCTGATACTTCTCTTGGCCATTCTTGCGGTAGCGATACATAAGCGATGGCGCACTTTTCACTCGAGCAAACTTCCTCGAAGCAGAAAACCTTCTTATGGCCTTTGAGTTCGACCACAGTGTCGTGCGCTTCGGAGTCTTGGATCCCCAAGCTGACATCCAAAAGCTCTGCTTGAAGACCTGAGCTGCATTACTTGGATAGTATCCAAAAGCTTCGCTTGCATGCAAGGTGGACATGTACATATACACTTACATCCATACATGCATGCATGCATCCAT